TTAAAAAACAAGATGCATAATCATGATTCAAATAACTAATTATAATGATGTAAAAAATTTAGACAAACTTACAATGAATATGAAATGGAGTTGATTAATTATGTCAAAAGTCTTGATAATTCTCTCTGTTGTTTAAAAGACTTTTAAAAATTTAATGAAACGTTGGTACACATCATATTCTGCCATATAATTTATATATCTGTAGAATGCTTATTATTCTAATTGGTTTAGAAGTCATATCATTTATTACTACAGATAAGTTTTCATATTTGTGGTGTTGCTTGGCTTGCTTCATTTAATTTGGACCACATTAACCCTGTTTCCCTACCTTACTTATTATTTTATTAACAAATGCTCATACATGTGCACCATCAAAGATGTTGTATAATGCTACAAAAAGATTTCAAGATACAAATATGCAGTATTGTGTGCTAAGATAGAAGAGAAATTTCAGTAGTCTTATTACATGGAAATCTGGAGACATAGACCACACTTGTTATATGAGAAACGTATAAAGGACGCAAGGAGTCGCTTGGGTTACTGTGGTCACCAAGCTCCAATTAGTTATTACAAGGATTCTTTTCTTTTTTCCTTAGTTCGATTGTGTACTATTTTCCTCCTTTAGCATTATCGATCGTTTGCAATTTAAGTTTCAATCATTGCATATCATTTGTTCATACAGTTTCCAAATCTTTCTTTTTTTGTTCCCTTCAATTTTGTATTGTCTCATATTATTTTCTCATTATTCTATTTTATTTTCCTCTTACTTTAGTTATATCGGAGTATTTAACGAAAAATTCACTTCATAGTACAAATATAATTGGCATATTTTAATACTTACATAATTCAGAGATATATATTTTTCATAAATGCAGTTATCTTAGTTTAGCTCATAGCTTCTTCTTTAATATGAAATTAAGCACTCTAATATGCTCTCTGTTTATATCAAAAGAAGTAGTAATATTAATATGAACAGTATTTACTAGAATTGGACTACAAGAATGATTTATTATTAAAGATATGATGCAGCATTGTTATAATACATTTATCTAATACATTGGATCTTAATTAGTACATACAACTTTCTATACGCTAAATACTCCACGTTCTCTTTTCTTTTTCTTTGAGTTATTTTGATTGAGTTTCGACAGCATTGTCGTTAGGCATTTGCGTAGGACGCAATAATAGTTGAACGAGACGTAAGAAAAAATCGCGCGGAGATTGGGACTGGGCTGTAATGGATAGGTCAAACGTCAATGGATGGGGAGAGCTCGAGCCCCGAAGGGGGTCCGGACACCCCGCCAAACACCCCCGTCACCCCATCACACAAGACTTCAAGGGAGCACCACAGGCAGTGGAAGGAATCGGAGAAATGCGAACCAGAACCGGCCACCTGTTTAGGTCAGCATCATCACCAGCGTCACCATCATCATCATGATCATCATCACAGTCATAAACATCATAATCATCCTTCCGATTTCGACAAGAAGTCATCACATAGTCCCCAAGGCATCTGTGATGTTCGATCATCAAACGATCCTTTGTCAGTATATTCATGCTACCATGCGCATTGGTGCTCCGCTTCAACCTCTTCCACACCAATCCCTAGTCCTACCCCCACAAGTCCTAGTCTCTCCCTTTCATCAAACTGTAGCAGTGAAGGAGAGACCAGATGGAAGTCGACAACGCGTCATCGGACTACCGAGAAAGCAGATCGGTGTTCCTCCAATCGCAAATCGCTCGGCTATGACGACGACGACGAAGACGATGCGGACCAAAACAGCGACCACGACCAAGACCAAGACCATAGCGGCAATTTGCCCAATCCAGGTACCCGTCCTACCACCGCCAGGTCAACCCGTCGTACCTTTTTCCCCAAACATAGCTGCGAGACTTGTTCAAACCTATTTTTCCTGTGCACCTCGTGACTCGCCCGTTTAGCGACCAATTCTTGTCTTGTCTTATCTCCTTTGGAGGTAGATATAGGAGAGAAAGAGAGAGAGAGAGAGAAAGAGAGAGGTTGTCATTTCATGGTATTCGAGTTTTGTAAACGATGATCTTCGCATGCAGCTTTAGCTTAGGGACGAGAACAAGAAAAAGAAAATTATGATTTCGAACTTGTACACTTGTGGTTCAATTCTACTCAATTACTATAGTATGTACAATGAGAATATCTTTATGATCCTAGTGCGCATTTCCTTCAATGTCAATTTTGCACAGCTGCACTACATATGCAATGTTTGTAACGCTGAAATATTTTTCTGCCAAATCTTGCCTCCGATGTAATAGAATATATTTGAGGTCTTCCTTCAGTGTTAATGTGCTATGTCAAATAAGAAAGCATTGCTTATTATACATATTATTTTTTGTTTCGTCACTGTAAGTAACTTCTCCACACCTTTTTGTGACTATAAATTCGCATTGTTTAAAAAACACAACCGTTTCGTATCAGTGATTAAGTATACATACTACGTATTTGTAAATACTTTTTATATACATATTTTAATAATGTGTTGAAAAGAGAAAAGGGACACTATAAAAGTCATGACAATCTCTCTCCAATGCTTACAGCGTACACAAAGTGAAACAGTACCAAAAGGAAAGATACTTGGCTTAGTTTCTTGAGCTTGCGATTCAAAATAAAATATCCTAGTATGTCAAATATCTTATGTTGTATTGCAATAATTTCCTCAATGATGTTACAGCAACATTTAATTTCTTGTGCACGCAGGAATTAAAATATTGGAAGATAACAAAGACAGCTGCCCGTCTTTCTAGCACATTTTAATTGCAGCAAATGTGCGTACATTCTGAAAGTTTGATTTTTCGGGAAATGCTCTAGTATTTTTTAAGTTCTTAGCTAGTTCTTTTTACTCCTGCGTCCTCGTGAATAAATATTTCATAAGTTTTGTACAAACTACATTAGGGGATTGGTCGAGTTTTATTGTTTTTTTAAAGCTCACTTGTGATAATGATAAAGATTAGTATTCTATTAACATTTTTGGATATTGTTCAATCAATTGTTCCAGGTGCTGTGGACGAATGAATGAACACATTGTGTATTACCTTAATAATTTTCAACCTCTTCTTTCTACATTTTAAAAGCTTCTTTTTATTTCTTTATCTTATATTTTCTTATACCATACTCTATTTCAATTTTCCTATCTATCTAATTCTTTAGTATATTATTTTCAAAAGATACCTAGTTCTTCAAAAAAATGAAAGTACCTAAAAATAATCAGTTTTTAAAATATAATTATTTAACAATACCTTCACTTCCTCGTATAATTTTCGTTAAATATTGTTAAGAGTTGTAATTATAATTAAATTAAACATATTTGTGGATATATGGAAGTATGGTTTAAGAATCGTTGTAAGATGTGAGAATAGCAACATTATTTTTTAATTTTATTTCTTTTTAGTATATTTTTTTTAGCATTCTTCCCATACCTAGCTTTCATATTGCTTTGTAACCATTACATTTTATGATTTTTCGTAGAAGGACAATACTGCACAAACTATAATACATGTACAACATATGTATTATGGACGTTAGCACAGTTTACAGATGAGACACAATTTAACAGAACAAAATTTTCAAACACTTATCGATCGGTACATGGACTTATAAGAATACTATTTCGCATGATCAGATATAGATTTTGCAGACAGTATGGTGCTCAATACCCTTCAACACTACAAGTTACCCATTTCACAGAATACATCCTACTGAACAACTTTAATAAAGTACTTCATAAACAGTTAGCATGAAATGCTTAGATATCTTGGCTTAGCTGCATACTCTGTGTTTATGTTATTGCTCATGTTACAATATATCATTTAAGTCACCGGTACTATAAATACGAGATAAAACTGATATTTTTAATATTCTAAATATTCATATTACACAATATCTGTAGACATTATATTCTGTGGTATTCATTTACTTATTCATAATTCTGATAAACCAAGTGTACATGTGTAAAGGTGCATGCATGAGTGAGTGACCGTGTGTGTGGTTGTTCATTCAAAGATGTAAAGCAACAGTTTTACAAAAAAACATTATTAAAACTATATGAAGTACTATAAAATACTTCAATGTTTATACTGCTACAGAGTTATCATAAATTTTATTTGAATGAATATTTTGTAAAACACATTTATTTTTTCAAATTAATAATAATGCTGTATTTGATACCATATGTAAAGAGATTAGCTGAAATATAGTTTACATTTAATTCATTCAAAGGCGATTTACGA